TTTCAATTAAATTCACTATTAAAAGAATTGATTAAGATTAAACTCTAATATTTCGATTAAAAATTGTGTATTCTTTATAAGATCAAAGTATTTATCTTATTTATGATAAAATATAATCAGTATGTTATTAAGAAATGAGAGGAAATGTTTATAAGGAACTGTCAGATGGAAATTTCTGTATATCCTCTGGATTAAATTCATTGTTAACAGAACTGACCAGAGTTGAAACCTTGTAACTTCATAAAAATCGTATAATCTCTGCAGGGTTAAAGTACAACATTTATCTGAGTATTAATGATAAAGTTGTATAATAAGCATATATTGCCAAGAGATCGGATTATATTTTTATAAGATAAATCACTTGTAATTACTGCATTATAAATATAAAAGTAATAAACATTTACGTAATGCTTGTTATTTGTATATAGGAAACGAAGTAATATTCCTACGCTGTTAATAACAGTTCATGAAGTGCTGCAAAAAGTCTGTAATTACCCTGTCATTAAAAAGTATTAATAGTAGGGAAACAGATGATGGAGTCAACATCGTATTTTTCATACTTCGTTAATTGGTTTCATTATTTAAGTGATGCATGACAGAAAAATATTGTACATTATTTTCTGTTTTATATTAAGAAAATCGTTACATCGTAAAATGAAATTTGTTACAGCGGAAACGGATTTGAAGGTTCCCATAAACAACGAAGCCTGGCTGATTCGTTTCCTCAGGCCATGCAAATATTACCCAGAGTCCGCGTTGAATCTGGCGAAGAATTATTACAGCTTCAAGGTGAAGCATAAGAATGTGTACGAGAACTTGAAACCGAGTCGAGAGAAGAACATCTTCGAGCAGAATATTTTAACAGTTCTACCTAATCGAGATCAGCACGGTAGAAGGATATTGATCATCGAGCTTGGAAAGAAATGGAAGCACAACAAATGTAACTTGGACGAAGTGTTCAAGGGCTGCGTTCTGTATTTGGAAGCTGCGATGCTCGAACCGAGCACGCAGATCGCTGGTGCTATCGTTATCTTCGACATGGACGGGCTCACTCTTCAACAAACCTGGCAGTTCACGCCACCGTTCGCTAAAAGGATAGTAGACTGGCTGCAGGATGCTGTGCCGTTGAGAATCAAGAATATTCATATTATTAACCAGCCGTACGTGTTCAACATGGTGTTCGCATTGTTCAAACCCTTCCTCAGGGAGAAGCTTAAGAGTAGGGTGAGTTTCGATCGTTTTCTCAATGCAAAATTGTTTGTAATGATAACCAAATATTCGTGTTTGTATAAAACTATCTGTAGAAGTATTTTCAATAAAATTACTTGTCATCTATTTTGTATTATGCGATGCATTTTATTAAATAATTCTTCAACACTTGTAATAAGAAATCCTGAAGTCCTTGTTTTACATTAAAATGGAATTAGATTTTTAATAAAATGCTTCTACCTATAATTAAATTATTTAGTCTTGGTTTATCAAATGCATTGTATTAAATGAGTTATCAATTCTTCAATTTTATATGCAAATTTATATACGTACATAATTTTATAAAAAGTCTTGTAAAATACAATAAAAAGAAAAATTTCTGTTAATTTTAGATCATTTTCCACGGCACGGACCGCAAATCATTGCACAAGCATATCTCGCCGAAATGCTTGCCGTCTTGTTACGGAGGAACTCTTCAACTCACGCAAGTAACTGGCTCCCAGTGGTACGAGCTGTTAATACTTTGTGACAAGGAATACGATGGTAAATGTCCCACTTTATTTCATCTTCTCTTGATTCGAAAAGAATTATAACAGTTTTTCTGTTAAAATAATTAATGCAATTAGACAGAAGAAAATTATTTTTATGCTTCACATTGACACGACTGTGAATCAATCGAATTTTTCTCTTTCAGCTATCAACTCATACGGTTACAATAAATAAATCGTCCATTTCGCCTTCGAAGAAGGACAAGAATAATTATTCAACTGAAAATCGTTATTGATTTTCGAGCAATGATGTCGGCTGTGGGCGTTCATTCCTCGTAACGCTGGGTACAACACTGTGCAGTCAGCCTACTTGTTTATAGGACGAATAGTATCTAGTTAACAAATTATGTATGTAATAGATTAAATTTTTCCACGTATTAATTAACTGATCGCGTAATCAGTTTTTCACTGTGCATGAGAAAAATTATTCCATGTGTCGCATTGTTGTGTAACGGAACAGGTAACACCGGAAATGTTACATCGTGTGCCAACTGACACCTAATTGGGCAAAAGTAGGTAAGTTCTACTCTGTATTTGGACTCGATCGAATTGCATTCTCCTCTTCCGCACGGAAAACCACACGGAATCGTGTTACAACGATCACTCATGTTCGTTTAGAAACCGAGAACTACCGATGTAACAACACTTGTTCTTTTCATTAGCAGATTTTATTATAGAAAAATCTATATAGTGATTCTGTTGATATTAAAATAATATATCTTACCTTCAAAGTTTTTCTCGAAGGCACAGAAATAGTTACAGATACCCTCACCGATGGGCTCTTTAGGCATTTTGAACTCTCCTCCAAGTTCGGTGGGCAGAACTTTCGATCCTGTATGTGCGAGCAAGGAATTCCTATTGGTACCGTGAAAGTGGAGCCTCTTACGCGTTTTCTCCTGTGAAATTCATTTAAACCCTTTATGTTGTACCGTTAATTAACTTTTACTTCTTTCTTTCATCACGTAAGTTTGTGCATTAATTCTTTTGTCATTCAAATTCGAACGATGTTAACTAGTGTATAAATTCATGTGAATCGCATGTTCTTGGACTATGAACTTTGAAGTGACGAAAAGAATGATTGCGAATGACATTGAAATGAATGTATTAATTTGAATATCGGCCATGAATATTTTTTAAGCTCACCAGAAGGAATGGTTTGAAGAGGGCAAAGACCATGTTGAATATGAAGGGTTGATTTACTATGTGTATACCCTTCAGGCGACAGGGTAAACATCTCTGGACCCACTCCGTCAGAGTCGCCGCGAAACTCGGTGTGAATTGTGTCACATGGCTCAGCGAAAATCCATCCATATCTATTATCACTTGGACACCCGCGATCTATTATTATTTTATAATTAATTGATCTAAAATCGATTAATGAAGTGCATGAGAAAATGATTGAAACACGGATTCACCTGAGTTTTGGGCTCGGCCATGGCCGCGTCTAGTGATAGCATGACGGCACGGAATATTTCGTCAAGGCTAATGGTCTTCGGGTTCCATTTTTTCCCAGAATTGACCAGAAGCAACCTGCATCCGTCCTTTGTGCGTTCTGGTAACGGTATCACGATCTCCGAGGTCAACACTTTCCTCTCGACGCTGGGCAAGAGATTGGCACAGTAGCGTGGGTTGTTCGCTCGGAAATGATAAAACCTCTTCATCTGCAAAATCACAGAAGCATTCGATTAACGCTATCAGTTAATTCAACAAGATCAATCAATCATTATATAAAATAAGATAATCTTTCATTATGCTAAATTGAAATTTTTCACAATTCTAGATTAATATAATCAATTATAAAAATTNTACTGAAATTAATTATTTAAATCCTGCCCATAAATAGATGATAAAATAATGAACGTCAGCATGCAAAATTTCAAGGCGATGACCTTTGAGCAAATTCCTGAGATCCTTCAATGACTGCTGGACAACCTCGGGTGTCTCGCGCAGCTCCTTTCTGGCTTTCTCCCGAAAAGTCTCGCCGCCGTCGTCGAACTCGGCTTGGAGGTCGAACGAGCCCACCTTGCAGTGTGGTATCTCGAACGGGGTTGCATTCTGGTCACCTTGCAGCTCCATCGAGCTCCGTCGACCGCGGAGGAGATCTATCTGTCGGACATACATGACGAACCAGCTGACTTTCACGCGTAATTCAATGACAGGATGCGATCGCACTCTTCAACTTCCTCCGCTCACTGTCTATCCCTAACTGTTCCTTCACTGATGCTTGGCTGCGGAGTGTGCTGTGCTTGGTCCGCGGTTCTTGTTCTTGTTCTTGTGTGTCGTGCGTGTTTCACATGTGCCTGACTACAATGTTCACATACGTTAAAAGACACCTCCTGCGTCGAATATAGACCGACGCGTGCCGTGAAGTTGATTCGTATCTATTTTTGATCGACGAATTAATGTTACGGGTGACGAAGCTCAATTTCTAAGAGACTTCGTATTCTGGTTCGAAATCTTGATTAAAAAAATTCACTATGTATTATAATTGCATTTTGAACTTATAATTCAAAGATTGACTGTACAGTTTAATAGGACATTCTGTATTTCATCAATCACATTGAGTCTTGAGTCTAGATAATCAGATATCTTTTAAACCAAATTACTTAGTCGGTGATCGTTTGAAATAAATGTATGTATGTACGTGTAACGTNATAAAATGTGAATCGTATCTCGAATCCTGCCAGTTAACAAAACCGAATTTTTATAATTTTTAGTAGGCTACTAGATTCCATTTAAACAATGTTTATTCATTCATTTTTTCTAATGAAACCACCAGCAATCCGCTTTGCAAATATCAATTCGAACCAGCAGCCCAACATAAAACAAAACCCAGCGAGGAAAATAAAATTGATTCATGGTTGGTCAACATACCTGAGGGAATGGTTGATCCCGAGTCCGCTTTCTCCGTTCAGTTAAAGAAGACCCTGCTCTTCTCCTCTCTCCGGCTTTCTTACCTTTGCACAGATTCCTGCCTATCACCACCGTTCATAAGTCTCAGAATATTTTCAAATACTATAGTAACCAGCAGGCATTATTCTAATTGAAAGATCATAGCAAAATCATGTAATAATTTTAATGGAAAATGAATATTCTTTGAACTCAAATTTTCATACTGAATTTTGTTTACCGTAAGTTTATAAAATATATTCATAACTTATTGTATGATTTAATACATCATTTTATTATAAGATTTTAATTAAGTTAGCCTCCGATGGTTACTACTCTGTAATAATTATCACATTTTTGGAAACACAAAATTTGAAAAAACACTCGTGTGTCCTGCGATTTATGAACTAGCTTACTGAGTCTGAGTGCTTATATCCAGATGCTACGTGCGCCAGGACGTAATTTCACGGTTCCTACGCGGAAAGATCGTAGCAGCGGCGCAGGTATCGATCAACGTGAAAGGGTAATGCTCTCTGGATCGAGCGAACCTGGAATCCAACGTGGCTGAAACGCCGTGGAGTACTGCAGGTCCCGCGAGTTTGAAATCGGCTGGAAAGCGGGACTGTTCCTCCCACCTTTGCTCGCGGACTTACACTCGTGACTGTGAGAAGTCGCGGAGGTTACCGTTTGTCATAGTCGAATACAATTAAATTTCAAAGTGGCTGAGGTGACAAAAGGTTATATTAATAAATATAAATTATAATTCTGGGAATTGAGCTGTGCATATGGTATCTTTTTATCCTTGGCCATCGGCCTTGATTTCATTCGATCGGTACCGCCTTCGCTTTAAACAGGAAACCGATTTCATGAAAAATGAATTGTGAAATTATCCTCATATATATAATCGTTTTATTCGTTCCTTTCATAATTCATTTATTGTTTGGTAACTTCGATCGTTTTAAGAAACTCGAGTAGCGGGTGTTTATATAAACAGTCATTTCTGTATGGCTCATACGTGTATTGTAAAATTTCTTAATCCATGCTTTGAAGTATTCTTATTTTATTTGGAAAACATTCAAACCTTGTGGCAATTTATAATTTTCATTCACA